TGCACATCACAGGGACTGACTCCTGCCAGTCTCACCTGGTGACAACACAGCAGTGGATTTGGATGTTTCCTTGTGCCACATGCATGTTTAGTGGCTGGCACAGCTGCCTGCTGTGACACCGTGTGATAGCACAGGACACTTCACACCTGGCTGAGCTGTGCAGTTTTGGGAGAGGAATCCTTTGTATCAGGAGCCACAACAAACACAAAACTAATCCTGCTGGTGCAGAAGCTGTGCCAATGTGCTTTTGCTAATAGAGAGAACAAAGCTCTAGCAACCTGGAAACAAGTGGTTTATAAGTGGTTTATTAATGGAGCACCATTCAATAGGGCCATTTCTGCTCTGGGCAGCATTCATACCAAAATAGTAATGAAGTGCAGCTTTGCAGTCATTCGTTGGCCTCTGAGCTTTCCATGCTCTGAGCAAAACCAGCACCCTAAAAGGGGAGAAGGACTTCCCTCGGTTTCACCTCACCTCTTCCTTCTGTGGGATCTTGGGAAGGGCCTTTTGTTCTCTCTGATGATTCCTCCTCATCTCCGAGCTCTGTGCAGTGCTCACCTGTGAACAAAGCCAGTGCCTATTGCTGGAGCTGTGGCTGCTTTGGGGGCTCTGTGGGCAGGAAGGGGATCATGGCACTGGGATATATCCCTGACATGGCAGGAACCTGCTGGGCTGCCCCACCTGCACCCCATGCCCAGTGTAGGGGGGCGCAGGAAGCGGGACACAAGCACTGAGTGGCTTTTTTCTTATTCAAACCTGAGTCATTCAATTTCTTCCCCCAGCTTTGAGTGAGCAAGGTGTAGCTTTAGGCACAGGTCAGTCTGTGCTCAGGAGAGCTCCTCCTTCCCTCCTTCCCCCAGCTCTCTTCCCTGCTGCTGCCTGGCCTGACCCACTGCCTGGGGCCAGCCCTGGTGTCACGCAGCCTCTGTCAGAGGGACTGTCCCCCAGCCCTGGAGCACAAGCTGTACCACGGGAGCTGTCTGAACCCTCCTGGGGAGGACAGGGATGGAGACCAAGCCCTGGGGACCTCTCTGTCCCTTTCTGCATCATTTCTGTTGTAAGATAAAAGCCTGAGCTTTTCTGCTAACAGACCACTGTCTCCGCAACGGGAGAAGCACGAGGCCAGCCTGCCACACAACACAGACTTCAACAACTGCAAAAGGCTCTTGCTTCACCCTTTCCAGGGACACTTTACCTCTCTAGGCAGGGCCTGCTCTGCCAGCACGGCAGCAGGGACAGCCTCCAGGCATGCTGCTGCTTGTGCCTGACTTGCTCCAAGGCCAAGGTGTCTGGCAAGCTCTCGGGATTCAAGCAGTCAACAAAGTCACAGTCATTCACATTTTATTTCTTGCCCTCCACCATGATAATGTGGTACCCGAACTTGGTCTTGACCGGAGGGTCTGTGTACACAGGCTTGTCCATGCTGCTCACAGGCAGGGCAAACGCTGCCTCCTGGAATGGTCCCACCATGGAGCCTCTGCTCATCCAGCCCAGGTCCCCCTGC